ACAACAACAACAAAATCACCCTCAGGAATAGTCCGCTTACCGTAGCACAAAAACACAAACACCTCGGAATAATCTTTCAGCATGACCTCCGTTGGACGGAGCATGTTGAATACATAGTCAAAAAATCACTCAAGTCTTTCAATATTCTTTTTAGACTAAGGTCTACGCTCACCAGTGATTCTTTATCTCACATCTATCACACATACATACTGCCTATATTCTCATATGCGAGCAATGCTCTCACACCGTTGTCACACACTTCCCTTGACAGGCTAGAACGACTCAAGCGGAAAGCCGCCAGAATATGTCTCCACCTTCCCCTTTACACACACTTAGAACACTCCCACCTTTTGCATCGCATCAAATGGCCAACATTATTTTCACGCTTTAAAGTTAAACATATACTCTTCGCGCATTCTCTGCATCACAATTATGGCCAACCACAGATACTCTCGCTGCATACTGGTAGCAACGTGCAACCTTAGTATAATTTACGTCGCGCTCGTGCTTGGCACTTGCCAACTCCGCGGACTGACCGCTGTCTCCATTCTCCCCTGTACAAGGCCCATCATTACTTTAATTGCTTGCCCACCCAGCTTCGCGAAATCCCTTCTCGTACTCCCTTCAAATCCCAGATATTCGTGCTGTTGCACAACTCTCCATGCTTGTGTAGCGACCCCCCCCCCCTGCCCGTACACTAAAAAGTTTCATGCCTGAGATGGCATGAAACTTTAAGTTGTGACTGATCAAGCCATCTGTTGTTCTGACTAGTGTGTACATGTATATACAAAGCTTCTAACGCAGCCAAATGCAACGCACATCTACCACATCTACCACGCGACAATATTTAGAGAAAACATTATCACGCCTTTACAAGTCATGATGATCAGTACGATGTTGTTATTATATTGTCTTTACGCTATATAAGTTTTAGTCTTTCCAACTTGAGCCATTCCCTGTACAATTCTTGATGGAAAGGGAACGAGAACGTTGGGATAACTGGCAAACTAATACTTGCCTTCGGTTGGAAATAATTATTTCATTCTCAATCTTTATTCACTTCATTACCAAGTTTCGAGCTGCGATTCAAAATCAATTTACTCTATTCTTGCTTTGTCATTTTCTCATGTCGCTCTTAGATCTTTATTCTTTTTCTTTCCTTCTTTCTCTTCTTCTTTTGCTGAGAGCCTTCTGTTCACATATTTTCTTTTCATCTGTGTCCCCAGTCCTGGGTTACTTGGACTTCATTCGCTTCCTTGTCATTGGACATGTACAGTCCGCTCGGTTTGCGAATTCAAATAAACACAACCACCACCAGATCATGAGATCGCTTTGAACTGTAGATGTGACATCATAAGCCACTAAGTGCACTATTTTTTTTTCTGCGTGGCAGGTTGTAAATCACTGTCCCTAGCGAAGATATGGCGGCGCCAGTCAGCTCCCGTGCTTTGGCATTTTGGCATTTTTGCCAATGACTTCTGTACAATTTCAAATTTGGACTTCGATAAGAATTTCAAAGTAGTAGGCCACTACTGTTCATATTAAATTTTCTTTCCAAAACTCAACACTTGCAAGCCAGTACCAAGGAATAGTCAATTGGTGAGTGGAGTGTAAACACAATATCTTGATAACACAAGTAAAAATCCTTCACCAGAAGTTGCCTTACATCATTTCCAAGCCTGGGGAGAATGTGCCATTCAATTTCTCTATATGAAGATTAGCTAAATTCCTAAACAGACATAAAAAAGTAGCAATAAAAGTAGCAATACCAGACATTATGGTAATCTAGCTATTAGCTAATAATGAGTGCTTTCAGAGACATTTTGTGGTTGATGTTTGTTGAGTGATGGAATTATGATGTTTAACGGGCAGCAATTTGCTAACCGCTTGAGAAGTGCTGAACAGAACCAGCTGAATCGATATACCACTAAGGCTGTATTGAATTTGTCACAAACAATAATGTTTGAAATCGGTGATGGGCAAGAACTGAGCAGTGATTGCCATAAAAGTAAAAGTCTTTCGTAGCATGTTATGTGTGTACAGTGTGTGTACAGTCGGTACGTGCACACCCAGTTTGCCCTTCACGGTATGCTACCCGCCTACAGCATAAAAACCCAATGAACCCTTCGTGCATGTTTATTTTTTATCATTATATTTTTATGGATTACCCAAAGGCCGAGGCCTAAGTCGAGGGGTCTCCGTTCATGGCTTACTGGGAATATATCTGCAAAATTGTAACATAGATTGAGAAGAGGAAGGGTTATAACAAAAATGCATACTGTAGAAATCAGCCATAATATTCGTTACTTTGTTACAGAAACTCTAGAAGGAATATAACCAGCAGGTTCAAAGCGGGTGTTGGCAAAGATGGTATGGACACGAGACACAAATCGATGACTATTTTGGGTGGTTCTAATGTCAGTGGGGAGGAGACCAATTTCGTCTCAGAGTTTGGAACTGGACTCGTGTTTGGAGCGCATATTGTCAGACAATGAGTAGTGTGGTTGGCAAGTTATAGGAAAGCAAAGAAAGTTATAGACTCCAAACGGTTGAGCAGACAGTTGCCTAAGAAGAATTCAGTTGTACCCACATGGATCCGGCAGAAAGCACAGCATTGCAAGTAATAACCTGAGACGCCCCTGGGGCATGTGCTCCGTCCACGCTTTCACCATACCGAACCTCACCCTCCTCACATCACAGACATTCCTTGTTTCTCTTATACTATAGCTTTGCAATGCAGTGACACAGTTGAAATATACACGCCCTCGCGCAGCTATGCGGTGCTGTCTGCCAAATCCACACATGGTTATAATTGCTGAATTCACACCTGTTCATTAGCACATCTTTACATTATCAACACTGAAAACCTTAAAAGGTTTTCATGGTGTTTTGCACTTGGTTGTCTTGCTTCGCTCCAATCTTCGTGCCTCAGGTCCACTTATTAAGTTTACTCCTTTCAATACAAAAAGTGGTTCCCTATTCTAGGTATTCAACAGCATCTACCTTCACTGACGGAAGATTTATACTCGAAACAGCTGTATGAAGGAAATTAGTACTAACGGATGTGTCGCTTTGCTAGTAGTGTGCCATGGCAACATGGCCGCATTTTCTCATGTCTCTTCCTACAGAAAACTGGTGCACTTTGGAATTGTCTCCCACCCCAATTGACAACTTTAGATTCCCTAACAGAATTCAAGCGTCATTTACGTATTTACATTGCAAAGTATCAATTCGACTGCATTGGTATCCCTTTGATGTGCAATCATTGATTTACATGTACACTGTACACTGCTTGTTCTTTCACTGTATCTTTTGTACAGCATCTCTCTTTTTCCCAACTTTTTTGCACATTTTCTCTTTTTCCCAAATCCAATGTTCAATGTAGATACACAAATAGGAGATCCCCCGATAGGCGTCAGCCTTTGGGTAATCCTGAAATAAAGATTATATTATAATACATGTCGAGGTTGGATGGAGAGTGCAGTTATGCTGCGGCGTTAATAAAAAAGTCTCGGCAGGGTCGAATGCTGCAGATTACACCGTTATTAATCTTATACTTCCTCCACATCGTTAAACTTGTCGCATCGCACATCTCAGGTTACGTTTGATTAATAACATTCCCAAATGGGAATCACTTGGAATCAATCGGAATCATTCTCGCCCGTTTGGTTGGTCAAAAAAGTGCGTTAGGTTGGTCCCATTCCAGAATGGGAATCGTTAGACTGATTCTTTTTGGAGAATGATCATTCCACCTGACATGCTGGAATGAGCATTCCCATTCCGGAATCAAAAATGATAATGGTTGCCACGAGCCAAACAATGTAGCATCCGGTTCAAGTGCCTCCAATCATGAACTCAGAAGTACCTTGACTCTCCCAAGGCAACTACAGTCGGGTAAAAGAGAAGAGAGCCGTCGTTCCACAACGACATAATGGAATTGTTATGTCAAGTTATTCCTATTTGATTCTGGTGCGTTTGTTTTGTCAGATGATTCCTACCCATTCAGATTCCAGAATGTTTGTCATTTACATTCTGAAAATCCCCAACCAAACGCAACCTCAATGTTCGGGACTGGCTTGTCTTTGCCGGATTCTGTGTTCGAACATTGCTACAACCCTCCCTACGCAATGTCTATTTGCTACGGCAGCCATGGTGGTTTGAAGAAAGGCTGAGGCTTCCTGCAGCTTCATCTGTGAAAAGAATTCGGGTGGACACACCCATTCCCATAGTGCTGCACATCAAATCCGAACCAGTTCCATTACTTTTACAACATTTCGGCACTTGGCCATCGTCAGGTAATAACAATGAATACCGTGGAAGCCACACAAGAGCAGTATATACGCAGAGTGTAGCGCCAAAAAAGATGCGAATTATGTCACCTAGTATGCAGAAGGGCGGGGACAGAGAGAGAGAAAAGGCGCAACTAGCACATCGCGGAGGAGAAGCAGCAGAAGGTAGCGCGCATTGTGCTCTGTGAATGGCGTTAGAGTGGAGCGCCAAAAAATAAAATGATGCGAGTTATGTCACCTGTATACAGAGGGGGGGGGGGGGAGAAGGTGCAACTGTGCACATCACGGAGAAGAAGAGCGCGCCGTTGTGCTCTATGAAGTGAGGGTACATGCCAAATAATTATGGTGTTAATTCAAGCACAGGAGGGGAGCACCGAGCCCCATGTGTCAATGCACTATGAGGATAAACTTCCATGCCAAACTGTTACCACCAGGGACGCGACGAGTTATCAGGAACAGAATGAATTTGAGTGACCCGCCTCATATTATAATTATTCAGTGATATTGAAGTAGCAGCAGGGGAAGCAGAGAAAATTCACAACAAATCCCATCCGATGCTTGTGTTCACATGGGGCTTGGCATCACGAATCTCAATCGCCTCGCGCAGTTTGCGACGGGCTCGATCAGGCTCTCTTGCTATGGTGAAATCCTGATAATTCGAACCTCAACATTCCAGGAAAAAACTTCTAATTATCCGGACATTCTAATTATCCAAACATGAACCCAAAAATTCCAGGAAAAAACTTCTAATTATCCGGACATTCTAATTATCCAAACATGAACCCACCACTCAATATGTACGCGGTCCTGGAAAAACTTCTCATTAAGCGGTATGTTCGAAATAAGCTATATTCGAATTATCAGGATTCCACCTGTACTTCAACTGCAGAGAATGCACTTTGCCCATAGTTAAGCTTACATCCAGGGTGAGTGGTACGAAAATGTTGGCCCCATGGCTTGTCGAGTTCCTGTCGTCTTGCCTCACCATTATGTTCTTCCAGGCGAGTTTCCAGAAAGCGGCCAGTGTCACCAACATATTGTTCCGGACATTCTTTGCACTTCAGCTGATATACAACATTCTTCTGCATACATACATCCTATTCCCCGGATATACACGAGATACACGGCCCCTTTGGGCGACCTCTCTTTTTCGGTTGTAGCGGATTTGCAGCCTTGACACATAGAGTAGGATCGAGGGCGAAGCGACACAATGTGCGCCTCAGGCTACCAGTGTGCTCATATACGACTCTAACCGGAATTTTATACATTCTGATTGCTTTATTCACTGCTTGATGCACTTTATCTGATTTATATGGAAGCTTTAGAAATGCGCAGCATGGGTTGGCATGGCGACGACGCTTTGGCCTTATGGAGGCAGTGCGTGCCTCTTCAATGATTCTCTCTGGGTAATTGTTCAATCTTAATTGTTCATGAACCCTCGCTTCACTTTCTGCACGCATTCTGGTCTTCGATGAGAGCCTCTGAGCTCTTAGGAATTGTGACGAAGCAATTGCCAATTTGATATGGTGGGGAACTGCCGAAGCATAATCAATGAGTAGACCACTAGCACATGCCTTCTGGTTACACTCTGCGTAACGCCATTCACAGAGCACAATGGGCGCTACCTTCTGCTGCTTCTCCTCCGCAATGTGCTAGTTGCGCCTTTTCTCTCTCTCTGCCCCCCCCCTTCTGCTGCTTCTCCTCCGCGATGTGCTAGTTGCGCCTTTTCTCTCTCTCTGCCCCTCCCCCTTCTGCATACTAGGTGACATAATTCGCATCTTTTTTGGCGCTACACTCTGCGTATATACTGCTCTTGTGTGGCTTCCACGGTATTCATTGTTATTACCTGATGATGGCCAAGTGCCGAAACGTTGTAAAAATAACGGAACTGGTTCGGATGTGATGTGCAGCGCTATGGGAATGGGTGTGTCCACCTGAATTCTTTTCACAGCCATGGTGGTCTCATCCAAATTTCACATTGTCAATTGTCAAGCCGCACCCAACCACGATCATTGTTCACCTTCAGATGGCGCCAGGGTGCGAATATGGATGGTGATGTGAAGGGAATGAATGGCGCTGTGGATGGATGTTGTAATGGTTGGTGCAATGCGTCGTGCTTTCCCCGGGGCTTCTGTGATGCACAGACCCTCTCTTTTCTGTAATGCTCCTGGAATCGCTCCCGGACACATCGTTTCGTCTCTCCCACATACTCCTCTCCACAAATGGAACAAAACATTAATGTTTCCGAAGGTTAACAATGATCGTGGTTGGGTACTGCTTGACAATTGACAATGTGAAATTTGGGTGATGATCACCGTATTTTCGCCACTTTCCTGTCCTGTGTACTTGTTCACGCAATTGTTATACAGGTTAGCACGATGTTGTAGGGTAAGTGTAGTTTGGCGACGGAATCACATCTCTTTTTTTGTCATAGTCCCAC